TGTGAGTATACCCTGTGGTGCAGCTTTGATATAGGCTCAGTTTATGAGGGTGTAATTAACAAGGGGATTATGTGGTTTTCCATGTTTCATGTTTGTTCATCCCGTGCGCGTTCAGAGCACACGCACAAGTCACCCGACCCGCGTAAGCATCTGGCTGGTAGAAGATCCTTATGAAATGAGATTTCACTGACTGAACATATACCTAATGGACTAGAGCAGTGGTTTTCAAACCAGTCCTGCTGGTCTAGACTAATGAATATCTCAATTAGAAGAAACTAAAAGAAACGGCAGCAAGGAAGTCACTGACCATGGGTGAATGAAAGAAAAGTAGGAAAGACAATACTGAAACGTAAAACACGTGATTGCATTAAAAAAAAAAAAAACACTGTGCTTTAGTTCAGTTACAACTAATTCAACAGCGCCTCCTGCAGGTAGACTGTGTTGCAACATGATTTTTGGGCCATACATCATCTGTTTTTCTGCCATTATACTTTGATTGTACATCATTATTATATTATATTATATTATATTATATATAAAAAGTTACTGAGGATCACCACTAAAGGATAATCATTATAAAGGATGTCCCGTTGTTTTAAAACTGAACTACTATACGAAAACAAAAACGCTATGTATACTAATAGTTAAATCAGCAGTAGTTTTCAAATCTATAAATTAACATGAAGATGTTTCTTTAAAAAACAGTAGGGCAAACGACCAGGCTGGTAGTCTGTTCAATGCTGATTTAATGGTGATTCTGTGAACATGACATTATAATCATACACTTACACCATACATTAGGCCTACTTGTTTTCCAGTACAAATGTTGCACACTGGTTATGTACGTTTTGACTAACATTTCCTTCCATCAAAGAGCAGATGGCAGGTATTCACAAGCGTTTGAATTTCTGCTACTTCCTGATGGATGTGTAGGTGCCGTTGATGAAGGTCTCGCGTATTTCATGGTTATTGTACGTTCTAGATTTCGCCAGTGAACCGGACATCAGCCATGAAAGTATTGCTCATAATGTCAATGGTGCAAGAATGGTTTACATCTTGTTGGTTATAATGAAAAGATTCACGTGCATACAAAACTCTAAAGCCCTGTAGAATTTTCATTTTTGACCAACAATGTCACAAATGATAACTTGTCTGAACAAACAATTGCGCATTTTTCACTGCAGTGTTGGGTGTATGCATTACAACGTAATTAATTACTGTAATTTAATTACTTTTCTCTTGAAAAAGTAAGGGATTACTCTTAATTTGTTTGTAATTCAATTACAATTACTTCTGATGTAATTGCATTAAATACTGTATAAACTATATAACAAGTCTATATAAAACAGTTAGGGATGTAACGATTAACCGCGAGCTGGTCGAAAATCGACTCAAATACGTGACGATTCAAATCGGTATAGATCACTGATCTATAATAGTTATTATATATAGATCAGTGGTTGAGATGCCAAACAGATCGCGATACAATTGGAGTAGGAGTTTATATGAATGTATCTCTGAGGGGAACTGACTATCTTTAGAAAAGTTTACTGGTATTTTCTTTTCATCGTGCTTCTGAACAATGCATATTAAAGTAGTGTTCATAAGCACAGCTCTGCTTTGTTTACAGCGGTAACCCAGGAAACACTGTATCATTGCTGTTCAAAAGCGCCACCTGCTGTCAGAGAGTGAATCTGCATCTCTTTCAGCTCGTCTGCTGTTTCGTTCAGATATGTTTATGTAGTATAGTTTCACAAAACTAAAGTCAGACCATTCTGTTTTCGCTTCAAATTTCGAAATTATACAGTCTAATTTAGATTAAAAACTACTCATGCTGCATGAATGCTGCATCTTTGTTTGGATCATGATTAAATCTAGTGGTTGCCTGCCTCAAATTTTAAATGGCAAGAGCACAGACAAAGCCTTAGTTTTTTCATATTAAGAGATTTATTTTATTTGTGTAACTTACTTGCTTGATTTGGGAGTTTGTTTTAAAATTTCAATTTAGTTTTGTTATATTTCAATTTCACAAAGAAACGGGCAGCAATAGCCTAATAAAACGACACCTTTTCATTTACTACTGGATAATGTCTTCAATCTCATTTTGTAAAAAAAAAACAAACGTGAGAAAATCGAATCGTGAGTTGAGTGAATCGTTACATCCCTAAAAACAGTGGATTTAACATCAAAATGTAACATCTAATGTTAAAATGTCAATGCAGCCTCCCTTTAAATACTTTAGTCAGTTCAAGAATAATTTATGCAATTTCATATTTATTTGAAAAACAAAATTTAAATAGCTATTTCATGTCTATTCTTGTATTGTTCAACTGGTCGAGGATGATATGGGATTTAGAAATTAATTAGTTACAAGTAATGCGATCATTTTTATGGAGTAAATGCTACAGTAATCTAATTAGGCCTACACTGCTGAAGATGTAATTAGGAGCTAGTAATTAATTACTTTTTTAGAGTACCTTACACAACACTGATCCACTGTTGCTGATTTGTGAGCTCCTAGCATGCATTGCAGCATGAATAAATGATGTGGTTATTTTGTGCTGTTTGCTGACTTTATCCACAGAAGAAAGCAAGTCATACAGGTTTGCAGCAGCATGAGGGTGAGTAAATGACTTACAAGAAAGACATGATTTTACTTTGGCTAAAGATCTCAAATGGACAAAACTAGACTTAACCAGACCATTGCATTAACCCGTTTATCAAGCTTCAGTTCACCGTCAAAGACGAGACCCAGATTCTTTTTCACTTGATTTAACATAGGGGGCAAAATAATTAAAAGCTACCATAGGTGATTTTTGGGCTTCCTCTGTCCCGAACATTATGATCTCAAGTTTTGTTCTCTCATTCTAATTTTAAAAAATGAAAAGACATCCATGACTTGATGGTCAGCAAGACAGGCAAAGAGAGAATCTAAACAATTCTTGAACTGTTTTAGGGGCAAATAAATCTTGAGTGTCATCCGCATAACAGTGAAAAGACACATTATATCCCCTAAGGATTGAGTCCAGAGGAAGCATATGAAACAAGTTACTCTTAAACCAATAGCACCTTGTGCTGTTACAGTTATATATTTCAAAACGTGTTTTGGGGCCACTATAACCATTCAGAAATATTAAAGACTAAATGCAACAAATAAAACACTTAGACTGTTTATTTGGTGGTCAAGCCTTACAATAAACAAAACCCAATCAAAATCTTAAATAGTTTAACCAAAAACTACAAAATATAATGATCGCTATAGGCAAACGTTTGGACCTTAATAAGGAATACGTTTAAAAATTAAAATCGCAATATACAGTGAATAATTTTAATACATCCCAATTGGAAAATGAAAACTGAGAAAAATCACTCTGGACTTTGTTGCAGAGTAAGCAAGGAGCATGTATAGTAACATCATGGCACATGATTTTGCTCTGAATGCACCCAGTGGAAAATCCATAGATATTTATTTCGTCCAGCTGACTTTGGGAATGTCATAATGCTCTGTCAGTGTGTCCAGGTGTCTGTTGAAATCCTGTAACACACAACAAAGATGTTATTCACACACACAAAAAAACAGGCTACCTAAAATATGAATATCAACATTAGTAGTGACAGACTTACCTCAACTCTTCTCTTGTGTGTTTTGGAGGCCTTCTTTAAAATTCTTTCCATTTGCTATTAAAAAGTTACAAAGAGAGAATATTATTTTACAACCCAATAGCAAGTCAAACCGCAATTTCAGTCAGTAAAAAATACTTAAATTAGAAATTACGTAATTTCATTACTCAGCATTCAAAATAATCACAGAAAGTCAATTAATTACGTAATGATATTGTCTTATATGTATATATCATACATACCCTTTTCTCTTGTAATTTGTCGAACGCAATCTGTGCTGGTGTCCTTTTATCAACATAGCCTTTCTTCGTTCCTTCTTCGTTTTGACTGGTCAAAACCTGCTCCTCTAAACGCTTCCTTTCCTTGTCCTTCTTCTTTTTCCTATGAGAAAAAAAAGCAAAAAGCTAATTATAGTCAATCACTTTGTTGTATTATATAACTCGCACAACAACACTGAGCTAGCATAACAGCTAACGGCTGCCGTGAAGGCAATGCCAACATTTCCCACAACACAGATACAAATATATATCTAGGTAAGCATTAAGATAAAACAAATACATACTTTTTACTTGCTACAGAGACTCCTTTGAGTTTTAAAGAGCCTTTTTGAACTGAGTTGTACTCCGACATTTTCTCTGTATCAACCAACTTTCTTCTTCTTCTTCTTCTTCTTGCTTTACGGCGGATCGCAGACTTATAAGTGCATTACCGCCACCTATATCTCAAATGGACCATTGACACTCTATCTACAATCTCCTGATTAACCTACCAACTCACATACAAACACCCTGGATTCTTGTACCCGCTTAGAGTCTTCATAGGGCTTCATCCGGCGCTGCGTGTTCAGCTCCTCCGTCCTCCCTCAGCCCTCTTAAGCGGGATTTGAAAGGAGAGAGAAAAAAATCAAAACAAAACATAAATAAATAGAGAAAAAATAAATAAAACAACACTTATAAAAAGTATTATTTTTGTCTTTTCCACTGAAAACTTAAAACCATTTTCCCTTGACCACTTTTCTACTTCATTTAATGCACATTGCATCTTCTTTATAGTATACTCTATATTCTTTCCTTTAAACCAAAGAGCCCCATCATCAGCAAACAAAGACTTCCCCAGACTTTCAACCAGCTTTCGTCCAAACAGATTGTTTATTAATTAGCCTCGGCTTTACTGCCCTCTAGAGGACATGAGTGACCGGTTTAGCTCAATGATGTGGTTTTACTTTTATTTATTTTATATTTTGCACCTTCTTGGTTCAAATTGTGTAACACTGTATGTTTACAAATTATTATTGTGCTGCTTGATATAGAGCGCTATTGGAAACAGTGACGTTTGAGCCAACAGGACATTTTGGATCTAGACTGTGTGCATAAAGTGCGCATGCGTGTTGCAGTTTCACCCGGACGGACTTCTTACGTACAAGTACTGTTCAGACAGCATGGTGGAAGATCTGAGGAGGCACAATGGCACATAGTGTACTTCATTGTTTTAAGAGGATAAACTTGCCTGTTCTTAATGCTTATAACGATCTTTTTGTTAACACTCTATGGATTCAGTCCCGTAGTTATGCTAGTAAGAAACCAGGTAAGGTGTGTTTTGTACGCATTTTTTATTTGTATTCATACAATGTCAACATTACCCTGCAACTTCTGACCTTGTAGGTCCAATTTTCAAAACCTTAAGAATTCATTTGTCTAATATTATATTATATTATGCTGTTATTTTTGTTTTTATTTATATTGTTTTATATTCATATTTCATATGACATTTTTACATTATAAAATATTTAAATAGCTATTTATATGAAATATTATTCTTGTTTTTTTTGTTTTTAGTAACCAAAGGCAAAGGTAAAGGAATGGTAAAGGAAGTTTTTAAGGGCCCAGAAGTCTGTAAGGATCCAGTAAGACTTTGCACACATGCAATCGGAGTCAACATCTTCAAACAAGGCGAGGATCCTCTTATTAAACCCAAGGAGGAATATCCAGAATGGTATGATGGTGTATTTTACTTTGTGCTTTTATAATGCTTTTATTTATGAAAGTTTCCACCACAGAATAATAAAAAAAAAAAAGATAATTGCAATTTTTGTATCTCACAATTCAGATTTTCTTTATATCTCACAATTCCAAATTCTAAACTTGTAATTGCGAGTTTTAAGTTTTAAATAATTCTGAATTTACGTCTTTCAATTTTGACTTTTTTTCTCGGAATTTTGTTTACATCTTGCAATTTTGTATTCTTTTCTCAGAATCCTGAGTTTATGTCTCACAATTCTGCTTTTTGTTTCCACCACCAAATAAAAAAAGGTAATTGTGAATTTTTATGTTGCAATTGTAAGTGTAAATTTTACAATTCAGACTTTTATTCTCTCAATTGCGAGGGGGGGGGAAAAACTGAATTGTGAGATAAAAAGTCTCAAATGCCTTTTTTTAAATTTTTATTTCCAGTAGTGAAAACAATATTTCAAATTTGCTGCATATCAAGCTAGAAAAATACCATGCTTGTATCTTAAGTTGTCCCATACCTTCAGGTTGTTTCAGTTGGACCTCGGTCCACCCAAAAACCTCAACGAACTTGAACCAGACAGTCTGGAATACTGGAAGCTTTTAAGGAAGGAGCATATTTGGAGACATAATAAACTGCATAAAGGCAAAAAGATGTAGAGGCTTTGGACAGAACTATGCATCTTTGAGAGCAAGGCCTGGGTGAACCTTTGCCTTCCCAGCATTCACAGCGGACATTACCTGAGGCGCAGGTTGAGATATGTTTCTCTGCTGAGTGAACTTCAGATTTGGAGAAGTTTATCTTCTTTTCCAGTGTAACGGAACAAATCGGTGCTATGTCAGAGGATCAAGTGGTTGTATTTTTGTTGTCATTCTTTGTATTATTAACGTCACTGTGTTATTTTTCTTACTTCTGTCTCATGAAAAAAATTAAATTCTAATGCGGAATGTCAAAGTGTATTTTCTTCCTTGCGTGTTCTTTCTCATACTCATGAAAAGTTGGAAATGTCAAAGTGAAATTGTTTGTTATAAGAGTCTAATTGTCAACAAAATTGTGGAAATCTTTAATCATACAAAATTAATTTGACTATCTGTCTGTGTATATTTGTCCAAGTTATGTGAGGTTAGGGGCTTCATCTCTTCTTCAACAGGAGTGACTCGACATGATGATGGCTTGCTGCTATAGGTCGAGAGAAGGTGAAAGTAAAAAGCTCGTGCTGCGCGTGGTAGGAGTGCATGCAAATACATGTTAGAAAGAGGAACTACTGACTGAAAAAGACAACTGCTGCGGATGTTTACCATACTGATTTACCGAGTCTGATAAGCATTAGTCGCAGTAACTGATTCAAAGTGAGTTAAACGGATATTTAGTGTCCGATTGACCGATTATTGGTAAATCAGAGTGCATAACAGGTAAGTGTACTTTTGTCAGGTTAAGTTGAATTAAATAACAGCTTTTCATTTGATATATTTAATTTTACAAAATGAAATCGAACATTATATTAGTATACATACTGATCTGTGATCTAAATGCAATAATCTATATCGATCTTTTCTGATGATGGTGGCAATGATGTGACAGAACTAAATGTTTTAATTAATTACCTCTATGGTTGGTTAGTTAAACTTACTTTCCCCAAAGCATTGACAAATGTGTCGTATATATAAAAATATAGAGTGCATTCGGTTCCGCATTTTCATGTTACTTACTATAGGCTATGTTGGGTTCTTCTTTTAATACAGGAACAAAGTCAGCGTTAATATAAAACTCGTAATAAGATTTTTTGTGTGTGTTTATGTAGTGTTTTTAATATAAAAAGAAAATAATAGTAATATATGTTTGTAACAATAGCAAATAAGGATTTCTTAGATTATAAAAAAGAGAAGTCTTTCACACTAGATTAAAACACGTGTTCATGTGTACAGAAATGTAATTTTAATATTCAAGTTGATTTAAAAAAAAAGTTTTTGACAAACTTCAGTAGCATTGACTACAAAATTTGTGGCTTTCCTGCTTCAGTGCCTGAAGAAAATCGAGCACAGAGAGGCTGTTGGATTTCTCACTACACATGGTAGCTAAATATATATACAAAATGATTATGATCTAATCTAGAACAGTTCCTCCATCCTCACCGTGGTGTGCCTTTGTGGTTAGAGTTTTGGTTTGGTAACCCAGGCCGAAAAGGGTGAGTTATATCACTCAGGTGTTATTTGTTTTTTTGGGTAGTGATGGAGCAGATTGACATCACACTCCAGCCACAGAGTCAGCGGGTACCAGAGGGAAGTCCCGTGGTTCTGAGCTGCAGAGCAGTTGGACCTATGGACCTCACCTACCAGTGGTTCAAGGGCAAAGATGAGGTCTGGTGCACTAAATTTGTAACTGAACCTACTGATTTGAAATATTACCCTAAGTCTGGTTCTTTATGTTCTCGGTAGGTGCCAGGAGGCAATGGCCCAGAGCTGGTGCTGAATCCTGTTAGTCCGGCTCAACAGGGCCCCTACATCTGCCGTGTAAGTTCTGGGGACAAGTACGTCTTCTCCAACTGGGCCCATGTGCGTCTAGTGAGGTCTGGAGGCGCAAGTGCAGGCATGTGAAGATTTCACTTTAAACTGAGTCTGAAATGAATCACATTTCCTTCATCACTGATAAATATGTCAATTGTAGGTTCCAGCTACTTCCCTTCATCAGCTAGTGGGTTGTATGTAACTCAGCAACCTAGGCCTCAAGTGTTGATGGAGGGAGACACTCTCTATCTCGAATGTACTGCTCAGGCCAACCCTCCTCCCCAGTTCCAATGGTATCTTAACAAACAGCCAATGCCAAACTGTACTAGAAGCATCTTAAAGGTACTCATCAAAGTCTCACAGTTGAATGTGTAGAGTAATTCACTTGAATTTACTTACTTGGGCATCTATATGTGCTTGTCCTCAGATTCCATGCATAACCACAGCAGACAGAGGTACATATACTTGCAAGGTTTACAACCTCTATCATGAAGCGTGGAGTGATCAGGTCCAAGTAAACATCGGTAGGACGCCAAGACAAAATTATTTATAATCATCCCCTTAAATATAAATGAAATAAATAGATAAAAGATTTTTCTTTATAGCATGGCCTGTTTTCACTCAGGTCCTGGTTCCTTTTCTGATGCTTCATGGGAAGCGCCTAAAGTAGGTAAGCACAATCTGTTTAATTGTATGAATTTAACACATCTTCTGATGCTTTCTTGTCACTCACATGCACTATTATGTTTTACAGGTGCTCCTGATGCAGGTCCAAGGCAAATTGGTGATTGTTGCGGTAAGTGATAAGCAGAAGTGTGGTGGTTACTCTTGGCATTTATTGTATTCGGAGGATCTGCAATGTCAATCTTGTCACTTCAAAAATTATAGCCACTGATAAGGTAGCACTGCTTATTGGGAACATGAACTACCTGCATCACCGGCAGCTGAGAGCTCCCATGGCAGATGTGCATGAGTTGACAAACCATCTACGCCAGTTAGACTTTAAAGTCGTCTCTCTGCTGGACCTCAACTGGCAGGAGATGCATAGTGCTGTTACGGAGTTCTTGCTGCTGTTGGATCGAGGGGTTTATGGTTAGTTCCTTGTTGCATCATTTGGATTTCTGCAACTATAGAATGTTAGGCCAGTTTCTAAGTTCTACACATCCTGATTGTTTGTTTATTAAAAACATTTGGATCATTTCATCCATGTCCACCATTTCAAGGGCTGTTGTACTTTGCTGGTCATGGCTATGAAAACTATGGGAACAGTTTCATGGTACCCATCGATGCTCCAGCCTCTTATACCTTCAAGCACTGCCTCTGGGTGCAGGATGTGTTACAGCGCATGCAAGAGCGCCAGACGGGACTTAATGTCTTTCTATTGGACATGTGTCGGAAACGGTGCAGTTTGATTCATAAGTGTATCAGTTCTGAATTATTGTGCATAAAATTTTACTTGAAACTGACTTCAGTTGTGTTGTTCATTCAGAAACCCAAATGACGAAAGCATCCCACAACCTGGCCCCTTGAGAGTGACAGCAAACATAGTGTTTGGCTATGCAACGTAAGTCTAATGCAATGACAATCATTTTATTGACATCTAGAAATTGTGATTACAATCTTCACATTCTGGATTCAGGTGTGTTGATGCCGAAGCATTTGAAGTAAATAAAGACGATCTCTCTAATGGAATCTTCATGAGCTTCCTTAAGAAAAGACTGATGGAGCCAGAGAAGGTCACGGTCATACTTGACAAAGTAGCTGAAGGTTTGGGATTAATGTTCAAATCATTGTTGGTATTGACATTTTGTTTGAACTACTTTTCAAGCAAAAAAATGTTACAAAATGTGTAATTACTTTGAAGCCACATCTACGTCATAGGCTCCTATAAAAAAAACTGATGACAGCAAGTGTGACTGCATAGTTTTACAGAGTCAGTGTCCATTGCAGACATGGGAAGGTGTGAAATCACTCGTGGTCGGCAGGCTCTAGAGCTGCGCAGTAATCTCTCGGAGCGTCGTGCCCTGACAGACAGCATTCAGGCTCCAGCATGCCAAGTCACAGCGTCAACGCGAAACTTACAGTGGGCCATCGCTCATGGTTCGACCTTTTCATGATAAAACCCCTTTAGTTTATATCCTTATGCAAAGCACTTTGGCTGTAGATAAAATTATGATATACATAATGGCGATTTTGTGTGAATTGTTCCAGTCCTCCCAGAGAGCTGCTGTCTTCAGTTCGAATGTGGTGTCAAGGTACAGCTAGGTTTTGCTGCAGAGTTCTCCAATATCATGATCATCTACTCTCGGATATTGGAGACTCCTAAAGACATTTTGTCCTGCTCTGCTCAGCTCTCTGATTTTACAGAGGTAAACTGACTTTCTTGATCTGCAAAGAATGTATTGAATTAGTCCTGAGAAAATATAACATAAAGATGTATCATTAATTGCTTTCCTGTGAATTAAATACATTGCCTTTTCATGGCCTGCTTTAACTTGGTGTATCTTCTGTTGATTGTTAATGAATTTTTCTGTAGTCAGTTTTGACAATGATATAATTTCAGGGTCCTGAAGTAGACCTGAAGCACAGCAATCAGGAGAGTCTTCGCGAGGCTGGCAGCTTACTACTGTCCATGGATGATCTACTGCCTCTGGAACAGCCTCAGCTCTTCACTCGTATTAGTGCCCTGCAAAGGCTCAAGGTACAGTATGTGCACAGTATATTACAGGAGTTGGTCAAAATGAGGGAACACCTGGAAATAGGCAATATTTCTTTATTAAAGGTAGGGTAGGTGATTTCGGAAAGGCTAGCAATAACAAGCTAGCTTTGAAAGCAAGATCCCACCCTCCCTGCATAATCACTCTGCAAAGCCACTGTTCCTCCAAAACACATGAACGCGCTCAGGCAGTCCAGAGGCTAACCAGTGACAAAAGGAGAGACAGTGTTGGTGGAGAGTTGAATGCAATGCTGTCAGATTACCTTATGTCTCATTTGCCGGTGAGAAAACATTACAGTACAAAGCGTATAATATTACAATAATAATGCCTTCCATTCTTGCTCGGTCTGCAATAGCGTAACGGAACACGCTGATGACGTATCATGTCCACGTGAACAGGGTCAACAGAGGTATCTTAATACAAACGTTGACAGGCAGATGAGACAGCCTATCATAATCTTCGGATCTTGATAGGCTCTAGTGGAATGTCATCTATCAGCCACTTATTTCAGAGAAGGTGAAGGGAATCTGCTTCTCATTCTTCTCTCCAAACTGTTCACAGTGGTTTGGTAATATTCAAGTCAGGTGATTTTTCTGGCCAGGGCAGATGTTGAAGTTTTAAGATCAGGTTTAAGATCACACCATCATTTTCACATTTTAGTATTGGTGATTAAAATTTTAGCAGGTGCAGCACTTTCAAGGATGTTGGCTTTGTGAAGTTCTCTGTGGTAAGTTTTTGTGGTATTTATGGTGACTTGAGGTGTGCTGTCATTTTGCAGCAGTAGTTCTGTGTTGTTTGGACACAATCCTTCATAGTGTTCGACGGCCCATATTATCCACTTTTCGGTTTTCGCCTGCTATTCTTCTTTGCTGATAACGTCTTGCCATGCTTTGTGTACGTAGTCATAATTGTAAAGACTGTTGTTCCTAAAACATTGAACAAATTGGGCTGTTAAGGTTACGGATGTTCCTGCTAAACGGGCTTCAATGACTTGTCCTTTTTGGAAGTCTGACAAATCACTTCACTGAGCACTTGTACTAAACACTGAAAAGATAAATAAAAGATAATCAACTTTTGTTTTTTCACTGTAGCCTACACAAATTTGATTAACCCCTATAATAATGGGTGTTCACAATATTTTGTCCAATCCCTGTATACAGTATTTAATGTATTACGTATAAAGCATATATATTATAAGGCATATATTACTTGCTTTTCCCCTCACAGAAAGAGCTCTCGTTTACTGTTTGTATACACTACAAGTACACTAATCTGGATGAAGAGGTCTTGGAAGAGCAAAGAGTCAGTGTAGGCAAACCATTAGTGTCAAAACTCAACCTCCACGAGCCACGACTCTCTCACACCTCCTCCTCTGACCGACAAATCTCCAGTATAATGGAATCTTCATCCTTCAGTGAAAGCTTCAGAGCTAACCTGCCCAACTTAAACCCTTCCTCCATCGGATCTGCATCTACATCCTGGTCCTGCTATCAAGGACCCATGGAATCACCCACATTTTCTAGCTTAAAGAATGAACCAGAGGAAACCATATGTCCTGAGTTCCTTGAAGCCGAAGAACCTCTCGCCATCAAGAGTTTGCCTAGCGCCTCTTCTCAGGAGCTCCCATTTAAATTTAGCAACTTACCAAATTCCATTTAGCAAGAAAGTGTTCAAAGCTGTGCATCTTGGATGCTACAGTGTATGTTACAGTGTGATTTTTTTTTTTAATATTTCACCCTGACTGCCATGTTACAGAAACTTGTGAATGTAATGTAACTGAGAAAGCTGGTGTACTCTTACAGCTTACAGTATCGTATTGATGATACATTTGCCAGTGCATTAAATTATCCTATTTTGTCTTCGTTTGTTTTGTTTTTCATTAAACTACATCACAAATGATTATGTCTGTGGTAATGATTGTAATGTATCTATCGCTTGAATTTCATCATGCTAAACAAAATACATATCTAGCAATAAAACAAATGACCAATAACAAATCCCCAGCAGTTCCCATGCTCCTGACAAACCAATCTTTCCAAACATTTTGTATCGTTAATTGACGCAAACATGCAAGTCATATACACTGTTTTTACCCTCTAAAACATATCAGCACACACTATGTTAGGTGACCTTGACTGACATGCAATGTGTAATTATAATCTGCTACTCATAATGTCTTTTACTCACTAAAGTAACATTATTTTTAGAAAAACAGGCAAAATATTATATCAAGTTCCTGCACTCCTTTCAAAATGCTCATCATTATTATTATTATCATCACATCAGCTAATGTAAAATTTTATGAATAACTGACTAAATAGACTATTTTTGTATAATATTCGATTTCCATTCCCACCTGTAATGTATCAAATTCGCAAAAACTGGGACTGGGAATCGATTCCAAAAAGAATCGATTCCGAGGCGTTGGGAATTGAGAGTCGATTCCAAAGGTTGGAATCGATTCCATCAAGAGGAATCGACTCCTCATTCAGAGCCTTTTTCAGTTTAACAAAGCTTATCTATGGGTGCCTCTCAAACGGAATGCTACGAAGGCTGCACACATTTAAATTCACGAAAATAAACTGAAAGAAAACGAGTCCGTACTGAGTACCTGAGAGCCTTCCTTTTGAGAAACACCATTCACCTCCCTCATGCTCGCTAAAAGCCGTAATTACGAGAGTTGTGAGATAAAAGATTATTTTTTATTACCATTCGCCTCCCTCATGCTTGCTAAAAGTGATTAGAATTCTGATTCGTTTCCTGAATCGGATAGATAGTTTTAATGAACCAGTTCAAAAAACCGATTCAGAGGTTATTTTATGGTGGACCTGGCTTGTCCACAATTTTGAGCGCTGCACGACAGAATAGATCATGACGTGATCGAGGGTCTTGATCTTATTTCCATCTAAAATACTTTTTTATTTTTATTTTTTTACATTTCTATCAGCCAATGATAATTATAAAAGAAACGTCCCGAGCATAGATCAGTGGCCGAGAGCGCATCTGATTGACAGATAAACCACGAGCTCTATCAGTTATTGTTAATGTTCTGGTTATTTTGTTTCAGTGTACAGTTTGTTAGTTTTGTGCAAAGCATACAGTCAAAGTAAAGTAAACTTCATCATTCAGCTGAACTGTGCACATTTATTTTAGACACTTCATGTCATGTTCAATTCATGTGATAAACGCATGTCCCGAGCTGTGGGCTATGACTAATTTCATGGGCAAAGCAGACAAAATTACAATTTATGTATCTCATTTTTTTTTTTTTTTTTACAAATAAAGCTTCATATTATGAGAAGGATACTTTCTATGACCTTTATCCTGCAGTCATGGTAAGAGTATAGGTTCCTTCAATCTAAAAAAAAACAAGAATCGAAAACAACAGTGCACCAGTCGGGATCTCGGCCATTTGAGCACTTTATTTGTGATAAACCTCCCCAAAATGACGACAGTTTAAGAGAATAGACCTATAAGAATGTATTAATAATCATACAATAGTATATTTCCTTGCAGAGACCGCGGTTTTATGGAGTGATATGGAACCCGTTCAATTCGGAGCTGAAAGTGACTGGCTGCACTGAAGCGGCAGCAACCCACCAGTCGGGATCTCGGCCATTTGAGCACTTTATTTGCGATAAACCTCAAATAACTTGCGATAAACGCATGTCCCGGTTGAGCTGTGGGCTATGACTAATTTCATGGGCAAAGCAGACAAAATTACAATTTATGTATCTCATTTTTTTTTTTTTTTTTACAAATAAAGCTTCATATTATGAGAAGGATACTTTCTATGACCTTTATCCTGCAGTCATGGTAAGAGTATAGGTTCCTTCAATCTAAAAAAAAACAAGAATCGAAAACAACAGTGAGAACCAGGAATCGGAATCGGACTCGATTCCAAAAATTTCGGAATCGAACAGCCCTAGCAAAAACCTTCTTGGACAACAGTTTTTCCCGCGCTCCTGTCAAACCGACCTTGACCATGCTGACGCATGCGCAGGACGCCAGTGGACTGCGCCATTTTGTTTCGACTGAGAAACGTTGTTTATCGCGCTCTGTCTAAAATTCGGTGAGTGTGCGCGGGGTAGAGAGAGAGAGACTCGTCCTTCTGCTTCCACCGTAACGTTCTCACAACCTGAAAACATGTCAGACTCGTCGACAGCAGACGTGGGGCCTGTGGAGGCGGGCGTTCGTAAATTATCGGAGCTGAGAGTGATCGATTTGAAGGCCGAGCTGAAGCGCCGAAATCTCGACATCGGCGTTTTATGGAGGGATATGAAACGCGTTCAATTCGGAGCTGAAAGTGACTGGCTGCACTGAAGCGGCAGCAACCCACCAGTCGGGATCTCGGCCATTTGAGCACTTTATTTGTGATAAACCTCCCCAAAATGACGACAGTTTAAAAGAATAGACCTATAAGAATGTATTAATAATCATACAATAGTATATTTCCTTGCAGAGACCGCTTTAGAGAACGCGTTAAACTCGCAGCGCTCTTGCGGCTGATTGAGCGGCAAAAACCGACCTGTCGGGATCACAGCCATTTTAACACTTTATTTGTGATAAACCTCCCTAAAATGTCGATCATGTAAAAGAACGGACCCATATTTTATTTTAGTTTTACACAACTGTGGCTGTTTCAGACATCAAACTGGCTTTGCAGGATGTTTTGAATTCAATGCTTACTGTAATATGCAGCGAATGAAGTGTAGGTTGTCATTGTAGAATAATTATGGATTGTTGTGAAGCTGTGTAAACAGTAGGCAGATGGGTGGCAGTTAGACTTGTATTTGACTCTATAAATCATACTTTCATTTTTAGGTCATTGAAGAAGAGGGCGGGAATCCACCTGAAAACATGTCAGACTCGTCGACAGCAGACGTGGGGCCTGTGGAGGCGGGCGTTCGTAAATTATCGGAGCTGAGAGTGATCGATTTGAAGGCCGAGCTGAAGCGCCGAAATCTCGACATCAGCGGCAATAAGAGCCTGCTTTCAGAAAGACTAAAAAAGGCAAGAGATATAACACCAGATATAAACATATCTAATCATTTTGCAACTCCCTGTTATATATTAGATTAAACATGCTTTGCATGCATACTGGTGTGGATGTTTACTGTAGTAACGTTACATGTGCTGTTTATAGGCGATTCGTGCTCTGTTTTTGCTGATAGGATGCATTGGATTACTAGTGTTAATTTGTCAAATGCATAAGTTTTTTTTGCATTAGGGTTTTTTTTTTTTTTTTCAAAACTAATTTTCTACATAATCATGTTTCACAAATCTACACAAAACTTGCTTCAAGTTTATAGTTTGAAAACATATTTTTCTGTTTCATTCTATAGGAAAGAGACAGGATGAACCTGATGAACCTGAAGATTGCACCCTTGAGGAGGACTCTGTTGATGGCCAGGTGCTTCATCATATAAAGTTGTTCACGGATATGATCTATGTAACTGGGTTGGGTTATTTTGCATAGGTTTATCAAAATTAAGAGCCGCCTTTACTTCCTTTAGGAGGACCTGGATGCTATTCCAGAGAACCTTCATGAGATGGATATTATGGACATGAATGTACTGGATGAAGCTGATATGGGCAATGGAGGTGGGCTTGATGGAGATGAATATGACGAGGAGGTTCTAGACACATTGTCGAATGAAGAGAACACAGACAACCTGAGGGAGGATGATGCAAATGACCATGACGTGGAGGATGTCTGTGATGTTGTCATGAGTAAATCTGGGGAGGAGGTGAGGTTTTAAAATTAGCCATTGATGCCGCCGTTCTGTTCTTATTGCACATTGTGTGACGCTTTCTTTGGCTTTTAGGAAATGGAGCTTAATGACGCAGATGTGGATGAGAACCAGGAAGCGCCTTGTCAGGTATTCAAGTTAACATTTTTGAGAGTTGTTTCTTTCTGATGGGCGTTGGGTTTCTTTTATTCATCTTTACTTATTTTCCATTAGCAGGGGGATGATGGTGAGCATGGATGCGAGGACACAAAAAGTGAAAAAGGTACTGTATGGGGTTGTCTGGAATTGCTCTTAAGGTCAGGGTGAAGCCTTAAAGTCCTTTTAGCATAAATGTATCAGGTTACTCAGGAACAAGAGACTGGAAATCCAAAGTTGATTACTGGCTTTATGCATTGCTGTCAGTAGACATTTAGCCATTTATATTGATTTAGCCACTTTATAGTCACATGCTTTTTTGAAAGGTGCCGATATGCAAAGAGCCAGTAATCTGTTTCAGTTAGCACATAGATTGGTTTAAATGGTTGTTGCAGATGCAATTTAGTGTTTCTAGGTTGCCTAAAGAAGACCATGAAGAGAAGTTGAGAAGAATTGGATCATGCTGAAGCAAAATCTCTATAGGACTCAAAGTTTGTTAATTGGAGATTTCACTAATGGACCATTTGCTTGTTTCAAAAGAAACACAATTCCTGTAAAGACAGCACAAGCTGCTGCTTCCATATCACGGACTCTTCCAAGTACTAAAGTCGACGATGGACACTCGGATGTGGTGCAGGTCTTGTGGCTTTCCCTAGTCAACAGCTTGCCCTCTGCTTTGGGGTGCAGGTGAACTGAAAAGAAATGGCCTGTTGTCTGGAAGCTTGTTGATTGTTCTTGCTTTGGTTTTTCCAGTCTCTTCACAGGGTAGCTTGCCTTTGCTTGTGTATGAGACAGCAGAGGGCCACGTCCTAATCCAGTTCCACGAT